CCCCAAAACCCCAAAACCCCAAAACCCCTTAATTCGAGAATAATTAAAAAATTTAAAGGGAAAATAACTTTAAAATAGTTTAAATGGTTCTGATTCAATTTATATCATCATTTATTTGACTTGACACTCTTCTGCTATGGAAATCAGTTCTAGTTGTTTGCTAATGCTGAAGGAAGGTTAGTTGGGTTTACAGACTAGACTTAGGATTCTTAAGTGGTTCAAGCAATGCACGACTTCTTCTTAGAGTTTGGGTGCATGGGCTGATGCACTACTAGGCGTCCAAGTAATCTCTTAAGCTTTTTTGAAATTAAGCACTAGTTCCATTTTTCTTCATTTTTTACATAGTTTAAACATAGTTCTTTTCATGGCTTGATAAGAACTCCTTAAAGAACTTGTTAGAATGCATAGATCTATCATAATTCGTAGAATTCTAACTGATAAATGTGTTCCTACTTTTAACATAATTCGTGCGACTCTCCAGACCTTACTTCGAATTGATATCATCTGGTCTTGGTATAATCTCAAGACTCTCCTCATCATCTTCATTGTCATTTTACCCCTCCTTAAATATTGTTATATCCGGGTTTTGAATAACTTTAGATTGGCTGAAACCATTAGTTTCGCCCAATCCAGATGTCTATCCGTGTCCATGTCCGTGATTATGACCATCAGGTCTAATTTAAGAAGCGTTGACTTAAGCAATAACTCTAGTTAACTGTTCTTAGATTCCAAGTCTGACCATATCATCATGAACTACTTACTTCTAAGTTTATGTCTCATTATGATCAATAGCACTTTAATCTTACATCTTATCTTTTAGCAGCTTCAAGCATTAATAATCAAAGTATTAGGAGCGAGTGAGTTTTTTAAGTAGAATATGCTATACGTTACAACTGAATGGATTGACCTTAGGACCTTGTTAATTGAACTTAAACTTGTTATACTCAATCAACTTTTTATTTTCTTATTTAGAACTGTCTAGTGTTTTCAGTAGAAAACTTTATGATAAACTTCTCGTCATCAATGATGAAGCTTCTTTCCCTGCAATCTAGTATTTTGCTCCCTCTTATTCATTATAAATCTGAGAGAGCAGAGATTTTTTAATGTCAGCATTATCCTTTATAACATTGCTTTGAGTTAGTTCAATCAAGACTTTACTACTTGAAGACCTTTAGAGCTTATTTTTAGCAAGCTTTAATTATCGAGGAATAACATAGTTTTCTCTTAAAATGGTGTTGTAATTTTCTCCCTCCAAAGTGCTTAAAGAGGGTGCTTCGATTCTCATAGTATCCTTCAGTGATGTATCAGTTTTGGTTAATGAAAAGGGTTTGCTTCTGATATACCGCTGAATAGATTCCAGATAGAGCTTTTATAATATTTCCTCATCTTATTCTGCTAAACTCATAACTCTTTATGTTTTTGAATTCTGCTAATTTTAATTTAATTTTGGACTATTTTCACTTTTTAAAACTCCTTTATCTATTTAAGAAATATCCTAATGGTCTGTTTTATCTTTGCCCAAATCGATTTCAATATTATACTCTTGATTATTTATAAACTAGTCCAAACTCCTATCAATATATCTCTTTAAGCTCTCTTTTATATTATCATTAATATCCTTACGTTCTTGCTTCTTTTCTGCTTAGAATGAGTTGACATCCTTGTTATCTTTGAAAAGCACCCATTATATATTAAATGGCGATCCCTTTTGCCGAGAATACTATTATCGATGAGTTAATGGAGTCTGACTCTTCACTTCCTCAGAATTTTTGAATTGAGATTGTGGGGAATCTCTATCAGATTTAGTTTGTGTCTTTGATTGAACAGGCTTGCTTGAGTTACACATATCAGTAATAAAATTGGCCTGAGTGAAATAATTCGTCTGAGCTTCCTCTTTTTTTATATTGAAGTATTGAGTTTTATATCTGTAGCTGGTTGATGATGAACGGTTAGTCTTATTCTATGTTGGCTGCGTAGATAATCTTTTATCACTATGGCGCTTGACTGTAACCTTTGCCTTAAACTCCAGGCCCGATTCTTCGATTGAAGGTAATTTAGTATGTACAGAAATTAAGTCTAAGTTTTTCATCTTTAACTGATAATACAAAGTTTTCAATGAGAATTAGAATAAGATTGCTTTTTTAAATCTCATTAATCCTGCTTGCAATTTGAATTATTTTCAATATTCTTAAATACTGGGAATACGGGGTTTTGGGGTTTTGGGGTTTTGGGG